CTTCGAACTTTGTAAATGGAGCTAAACGTGTTTTCGATTACCACTGAATGAGAACATACTGTGTCCATAAGTGTCTCAACTGCCCCCCCCCTACCACCCTTGTTCTATGGCAGCAACTAAAGGGTGCATGAGATCGCTCTTCATTTTTAGTGGGAAAAACACTAGCAGCCCCGACTATCCCCTTCCTCCATATGTTCAGAAGTAATTTATGCGAGCACTTGAACTTCCCTGACCCATTATTACGTCTGCCCTAACCCACCAGCGGCCACTTAAAGATCTGCGGTGTCTACAAGACTAATAATGCCCAAGAAATACGTACAACGCGTATTGGACGAGAAGACAAACTAAAAGAGAACGACGGATATCGCGAAACCTCAACAACGGTTGCGTTGCTATTATCTGTAGAGCAGGGAGCGAGAGAAGAGCACAGATGAATAAGAGAACAAAAAGTGAAACTCAACTCGCGTGACTCATTTCACCTTTTAAGCTTCAGAGGAATCCAAATAATCGCATTCTGTTGGTGCTACTGCCGTTGCACGTCACTGATTGGGCCGGGTCCATCATAACCCCGACCAGTTAGAATGAACTCATTTCTCCATAGCCAAATAAAAGTACATTGTGAGTGAGTTACCGGGTGAGAATGAAAGTTTTGGTGGTGTGGGGTTTGTCCCACAACCTCCCTCCTCCAACGTGACCATTGACCGAGTGAGCTTTCGACGAGAATGCACGAACTCCGTGTTAATTGACCTCTGTTGGCCTGGTAAGGAAATGAATCACATCCAGATGGATCGATAAATTGGCCATTACTCTCAGGCACAGATGTTAGAATGAATTATTGCATGAATGGATTCAGTCTAGGCCCTCAATAGCCTAATGAGCAAATTCACGTAGGCCGAGGTTCATTCCAATAATACCGCTTCCTGTGAACCAAATGCAATTGTCTACGTATATCTAGCATTAAAGCGGTTTCACTTGAATTTGAAAAGGTATAGATGGTCTTAATCCGGTAAAGTAACAAGGTTCGAATAAGAGAAAGGTAGATGGGCAAAGGAGATTGATGCTGTCACACTATACACAGTGATCAATCTTGTAACTCATCGCTCTCCCTCTGGCACTGTCAACAATATTAAATAGTATACATTGTCGTGATTCGAAATAACTAATTACGAGATTCTCCTCTGCAATCTCAGTGTATGCTGTTGTATTTTCAACCGCTGTTTTAGGTTTTCTTTTTAAAGTAAAAAATAATAGCACAAATTGGTCTGAATGTTTGTAGTTGTGTCCTATTTGAAACCATGTGCTGTTGGGTATGCACTACTGATGAGCTCTAATAAGAGAAACTTGAATACGGTGCTTCCGAGATTGTGGTTAACTGAATGAACTGAGGATTGTGTTTGAAGGTGAAATCCGAAGGATTGTCCGTTCAAATCAATATCCGATTTGGTTTCAATGCCTTCTTCAATGACAATGAACCCGGTAGCTTTTAAGGCCTACGCACCTACCATCTTGCCGTAGCGTCAGGATAGTAGTCCCTTGAATCTACCAGTAAACCAACTAATGACTAAAGACTCACCAGATGGATATTGCAACAGAATTTTGAATCCTGATCCCAACAACAAACACAAAGGTGAAAATGCACTGTCGGTACCAGAATTCAACATTGATGATGGCTGGAATTACGACTTACATGAAGTGGCGTTTTACTTCGACTGGCCAATTGAAAATAAGCCTCCTTTTAGTTTACCGATTCGTCTGTGCGGCACTTGCATCTCAGGGTTTGGCTGATTCGTTTGAACCGTTTGTTTGGTTGAGGTCAAGGCCTTGGTGGAATGCTCTAGGTCACCTGTTGGGGGTATCTGTCGATACCTGAGAGCTATCGAATGTTCAACCCGATTGAACAGTCAGGTCTGGTGGCCTTAGGTAACAAGACGATCAAAACAAGTCAGTAAAGCTCTAAAGCACATGTTTCATGGATGAGACAGTAATCCAAAAGGTTGGGGCTTGGTTCCTACCCCTTAACATTTATTCAGGTTTTTGGCGAATCAAACTGCAGGCTATCTCACTGTGAAATTATTAGAGCTATCAACATTAAATCAGAATCTTCAGCTTTCCCCCCTTCTTAACGAATCTCCCGGTAGCTGGAATTTTAAGACAGGGTTTATTTCCGAGTTACAGCTGATATTAAAAGCATCCTAAGAAATCTTTTGAGGGATTATGTTTTGGGTATGTCTTGTTATCGGGGAAACACGGGGAAACACTTCTCCATGAACTTCAATCGAATGCCATCCATCGGATCCAAAGATAACACGTGGTATTTGTCACCTGATCGGGGTGCTCACTTTGTTTGGATTGTTGCATGCGGAGTATTAGACAGCTCTAACGAGAGCCCATAAATTTTGTGTGTATGGCTGATGGATCAGCTGTGGGCCGTGCATCAAGATGAAGTCTGAACGCTAGTCAGTCCATCATCATCATCGTCATTGTACAGCGAGATACAGTGAAGCGAGTTTCACTGATCGCTGCCAAGCTCACAGTGTACACAAATCAAGTGATAAAGCACAAGATGGAGAGGGATTGGGCCTACTTGGAGAGAGGCAAAAAATAACCTCTATGTTCAACACACAGNCACAGTGTACACAATCTAAGTGTTCATGCATACCTTTTTTCAAGCATTCTGCTTTGTCAAGAAATGACAACAAGAACGCCACTGCTGTCGGTTATTTGCCGTATCCTTCATTGTCTCCAACCAGCCAGTTGCAGAGTCTTTCGGACCCCAACCTAGAAGACGGGAGACACCGATTTTACCTAATCGCTCTGTGCATTTCTTAATGCCTCGCTTCCACGTCATCTGTTGACCACCACGCGATTTCTTCCGATCTGCGAATAAGGTGCGGTGCGGCAGACG